TCAGTTGTGAACTGTTCAAGAAGCATTGATTGATTGAGATTTTTTGCATTCATTTCTTTGCGCCGAGAAATAAGCCCCAGAAGAGACTTGAAAACTCATAAAAGATAATGCTCATAATGCACGTCCATCAAATTTTCAAGGGAACATTTTTTTGTGCGTTTGATGTTTTCTGGGACAAAAATAAAAATTACTGGCAACCAAATTTGTTTATTTCTTCTTTTCTTTTGTCTAAACAAGGAAACTTATTAAAACTTCAGTGAAAAGTATTTGCCTTCCTAGTCTTCTTTTTCAGTCAATATCAGACCGATTCAAAGAATGATTTGACTGTACCAAACGAAAAGTCAAGGTAGGTAAAACATGCATTAGCTACCGTTTAATTGAAAAAGTAGTAGCACACTTGTAAAAGGGAAAGCAACAGATGGAACTTATCAAGTAACATTCAGAGAACGTCAACATGTTACTCGAAGTAAAAAAAAAAGCGTTTGGAGTTTTGTTGGTTCGATACGATTGTTTTCATTTTTTTTTGCTTTCTATGATTTACATTGAACGAGAACATAAAAAATGACAAATTTTAAACTAATCAGTGTCAAAACGATTCCATTAACATTTAAGAGAATTCATTTGTTCTCATTGCTTAAAGCTTAGTTGAAACAATTCCTGGAAATGTAAGTTATAAATTATTTAACAAATATTTAAGCTTGGAGTTAAACATGCTTAGAGCCTAGATTTTAATGTTTTACAGAATTATTTCTAGAGTTTAAGGTTGCAATTTGGAGCTGTGATTCAAAAGCAAAAACCGAATCGCCAAGTCAATTCTACAGAAAATTAAACAAAAAAATTTGCTGTGAGTCATCTTAAAAGTTGATTAAATTTGCACAACTAAAATTTTGCACAGTAACGATTGTATTTTTTTACTGGAGATGAAAAAATCACCAATGAAACGTTCTTAAACTCTCTGGCTGATCTTCTCGGCAAACTACGCTGCTTATAGCAGAAGAAGTAACCATGCAGCCTCGGCATGAACTAAGAATAAATCGTTGAGTAAAGGAAATATTTGTACACTGATGGAAAAACGAAGAAAATTGTCGGTCGACAAAACACTAATAAAAAGCCAAATCGCCAGTTTTTGAAAAAAAAGAACTCACCTTCAGATTTGTTCTTTATTTTCAGCCTCAAAATTTCAGGTTGCAAAAGATATTACAAACTACAACAAAAAATTTCCTAAACCTAAAAGGCGATCTGGCTGATCATCTCAGCAAACTACGCTACTCATAGCGAAAGTATCCATGCAGCCCCGGCATGAATTAAGATCAATTCGCATAGTAAAGGAAACATTTGCACACTAATGGAAAAATAAAGAGAATCGTCGATTGACAAAAAGCTTTTAATCAGCTGGATAAGTGTCTAATTTGATCGGGAAAAAAACAGTTTTCTGAAAAAAAATACTCACCTTCTGATTTTTTTTTAGTTTTAGCTAACTTTTTAGAGTTGTTAAAATTTTTGGTTCATGAACAAAATGGTAAAAATCAGTTTGTTTTATACAGTCATTGACCGCAACTGAAAGGAAGCAATCCAATATTCTCAAGCTGAAGCCTTTGACTTCTGATAAAATCTGAATAGTTTTACAGTATCGAACAACCTCTGAAGCATAAACAGTCTTAACGTGTCTTCTGAAGCACTGCATCATTCGATTCTGAACTTCAATGGCTTCCTGTTGGGCGCTAAATTGCACATTTGTACATCTTGCAAAAGCCAGCAAAATGCCTCAGATAATCGCGAACTCGTGCATGTCTATGTTCAACTCCTTCACATTTTTACGGAAGAAAACAAAGGGCAAACAACATCTTCGCCAAAGCCTATTCTAACGCAATCAGCTTTCGAAAGAGTTTTTCTTTGTGAAAAGTTTAGTTTTTTTTTCGTATTGCTTTGACCTCCAAGCTAATCGGAACGTCATTACATCCGGGAATGTGAGAATTTTCAGTTGATCTCGCTGATGCAATTTTGTGAAATGTGACCACTGCACAATTTCATAGAGTTCTTCGTAAGCTGACAATGCCAGACCAGCCATTTCTAAGTTAAAATTTTGGTAAGGATCTTCAATTGGCAGCTCATTTGTATCCGATGGAATTGTTTGTGCCCCAATTGACGTTAGTTGGTCTAACAGTATCCTATTATCATTCTCGAGAGTGTAGATAGACTTGTTTAAGTCAGTGTCTTCAGCTAAGATGGCGGTTGGCGTATTTGATGTAACACTTTTAGTCCTTATAAAGGACTCGGACATACCACTCCCAATGAATAGGTCAAAGCGACACTTTTCACAATTTTTCCTTGTAATTCGGTTTATTTTGAATTTAATTTCTTGTTTTTCAGCAGAGTCGAGCGCATCTTGGTTGTTAAGATCTTTACATTTGTATGTCATTTTCAATTGAACTGAGCGCTTTAAGAATCCTTTGCATCCTTCACATGTCCTTGCGTTGTAGTGATTACCTGAACAAGAGATAATTAAATCTGTATTCTGGCAATTTTAGAAAGCAAGAGCAGATTAACTGTCAAAGTCTAGGATGCTACTAAGAATAAGTTGTTGGGATGCTAATTGGAGATCTAACCGGAATTGATTTTGAAGGAATTATCCGGTCTTTTCATCGGATTCCCGAATTGGAATAGCTGTGAAAATGAGCGAAACTCCGGATTCCGGTACATCTCTAATACTCTGATAATTGTCATTCATTTAAAACCTACACCTATCTCTGGCTCACTTAGTCTCAGCATGCAATGAAATTTGGTGTGGTGAACAAATCGACAACTGTGAACAGATTTGTTCTTCATACTTCACATCGTAAAATCACGCATTTAGCCGTAATAACGCGTAAAGCAAACATAAAACTCGGTATTTTGAAGGGGGGACTGGAAAAGAGCCAAATCGTTTATTAAACTCGCAGGTGGGGGAAGAGCAAAGAGCCTATAGGTGGAAATACTGTGAAAATATACAATTTTTTCAACTTAATTAACTGTTTGTTACTGGTGTTAACGTCCTGTGTTCGTTCGCTTCCTGTTGTGTACTAGACTGAATGATACCACTATGAGAACCCTCCGAGTGCAAAACCACAGCATCACTCACAGGATTCGAACTGTGGCTCCTTGTATTCCTCCTCGCTCTTCGTGAGAAGTGTGCCATAAAGGAAGGGTACACTGCCACTATTAGGATGATAACTGCTACATAGATAGTTAACTTGTCAGATGAATGTCTGTACTTTTCATTGTTCGGGTCAATAGAAGCGAGTAGCATGTGGAAGAACATCCTTTGCGATAGTGTAGTCAGAATGTAACCTTAAATTCTCACATACAGTTTTTTATACTTTTAAAATCGTAGAAGGTTTTGAAAGTATTGTTTTTCACATGCAACTAACTGTACAAAAAAGTTCTCGTTTTTTAAGTTGCAATTCGAGCTTTCAACTGAAACTGAAGAAATTATTAAATGGGCTTTTCGTCACCTCACCATTAGTACAATTATTTGGTAGAGCAAAATTAATTGGGCTCTTTTCCAGTTTCCCACCCCCTCGTAAAAAAGTTAAATAAAGCTGCTCCAAAATTGTTCACGCGGCAGTTTGCATGTAAAAAATGTAAAAATTTGTTCACCTGTTCACGCTGACACGTTTCAAAGCAGTTTTTAACATGAAAAGTAATTTAAAATAGACTTTCCTTTAATGAATTTCAGAAAAAATCAAAAGGCGGGGAACTGGAAAAGAGCCAATAATTATTAATGCTTGTCTAATAATCAGGGTCGCATCATGGCTCTCAAAAAATGTATTGTTTTTGTCTCTAAATGTCTCTAATTTTCTAAAACGCATAAGCATGCGATATTTGAACAGTCCTCGAAGCTCCTATTTTTTCACAATTTATTTCTACAAAAGCTGCCATGGTTTTCATGAAACAGCCGAAGTGTGCGTGTGGCTACAAATCTATACCGAGTAGTATGCTGGACATTTCCTCGTTCTCTATCTCCATGATGAACCTCTGCTGCTCCTGCTCCTGCAGCTCCTGCTGTCTCTCCTGACTCTGCTGGTCGGCCTCTATCTCCTCCTCATTCGTGGCCCCCATCCTCGCTATGTACAGGGGAAAGAACACGTCCTCCACCATGTCCATACTTTTACTCTACCTTAGTTATAACTGTTTTACTTACTATTCCTTATTCATTTATTTATTGCTGGCCAAAACTAGTTTTTGTGATCTGTATAAATACGTATAAGATGCCCTTGTTTTTGGCTCTAGAGATTGATGATCTTTATTTTTTACTGGATTTATTAAGATTTTTCTAAGATTAATCTCTTGGTTGCTTTGTCTTGATTATATTCTTTGGTATCTGAATATTCGGATACTTTCTATCGCAGCACGTGCTGAGATTTAAGTCACGCGCATCCAAACCTCCTTGATTAGTTCGAGGCTCTTTTCTACTTTCCATCACATTTTAAAATTTCTTTTTTCTTGTTTTATATGATATTAGGGCTAGATGTCTGGTGATGCTACCATGTAAAATATGAAGAAAAAATATGTTCACAATAGTAATTTGTTCACTACGCCAAAATTACATAACATCATGTACGCCAAAATTGTTTTTAAGAACCGAAGCTGATTGGATGACTCAGAGCCTGAAAGCTCTTACCACCTAGTTTCATTCCATGTTGATTGCCATAAAAATAAGTTTTGGTATAATTGTGTCTATTTAGTGCTAAATTAAAACTATCAAATCCTAATTAAATTAACAAAATTCACTTGAATCCGGCGCATATTTGCAATTCTGGTCACTTAAGAATCCGGATTTATGCTCCGAGTTTGTTTAAGTAATCATGTTGTGGCTTATCTTGAACAAGCGCCGACGCGAATCCTCATAAGCGCCAACTCATTATCTTTTTATTTGTCAGATTAGCACATATGTGACAACCTTTTTCTTGTCAAATCTAAACACGCATTTCCTGCTCAATTCTCATTGGTTGAGATTTTTACCCTTCGATAGTCCCCTACGTGCTGAATATTCCCCTCAGTTGCTTGCTCTTACACTACACGGCCTAGTCAGGCGATTCTTTTCCCTTAGTATATATAAATTTACCCGATCGTTGTTCTGCCTTTTGGGAACTGTATTGTCTTGTTCCAAAGGTACATTCTCTCAAACACGAAGGAGAGAAACATATCTTCGTTTTGTTACCAATTGCTACCTGCATGCAATACATATAGAAGATCATCTCTCGGCTCCCTTGAAAACAAGTCGAGCCATTTCCATCAAACTATCCAAGAAGCCCACAAAATCTTACATTTTGAAAAACTTAAAGATTTTACTAGAGTTAAGTTAAAGATTTGAATTAAGTTAAAAAATGAAAACTTGTGAAACAAATTTTCCACCGACACAAAAACGATCTGACATTATTTTGCACCGTCTGAACTCTCAACAAATCCATCCGAATATAATGAAGAAAAAGTCCCCGTCCAGAAAGCCGAACTTGATTCCAGCAGTAGATTTGGACTCATTGAAGACCATCGAAGACTGCTACGAAAAGTTAGTCCAAATAGTACCCAAAGCTGAGAGCAAAATGGGGCAGGACGACTTAATCGGATGTGTGATTGACTACATATCGGAACTTGAGGACGAACTTCTTCGCCGAATGGACTTCGGAACTGATCTGCGATTGGAGGATGACTCGGATACGAGCTCGGACGAAGAAGACGAAGTCGTATGCGGCTCGGGATCAATGGTTGAAAGTGTTCAGCGGGACGAAACTTCAATGCTAATTCCGACCACGGCAACAACAATTTCATCAGATTTAATCGGCGCTGCCCGAACACCATTGAAGAACCTAGATGATAATTTGGCAGTTTTTGTCGACAAATCAGAACAGGTAATTGTTAAATTCCAAGTTTTGAAGCTTTAATTTAAATCAAAATCTGTGAGAAATTTTAACTAGATTAATTGCTGTCTGTTTCAGAATCCCTTCAGCCTATGACATTTCCTCCAAGAAAGAAAACGGAGGATCTCGGGACCGGGAGAGTTTCGAACATGCCATTATCTCTTTTTAACTCTATCTGTTTGCTATGAGGACAGGCCACGTACATACTCTCCCCCTCGTTGTCTAGATTTTTCTCTTGAGACAACTGGCTCAGATCTCCGAGCCATGATTGTAAGTACATCTATATTATTTATTATTTATTGTACCTTAATAAATACATCCTGTAAACATGTATTTCAAAGAACTGTTTTCAAATTTTGCCTTAAAATTTGGGATTGAGAAATTTAATAAATTGCAGCCGATGGCTGTGCTGAAAGTTTTTCCGATGGTTTTTGAGATTACTTTGAATTATTACTCTGCTGTTCATGTTGATAATCATATATTATCGGTTCCCTTTTGTTTTAGTTTTCACGCCGAGATATGAAGTCCCAGTTGTGGAAAGAGGAAAATCATGGATTAAAAAAGCAAACAAACATACAAACCACAACAATAGCAGTTGATTCGAAATATTGATTAGAGCTGGAAACATGCTGGGAGGCTGAGCCTCTTCCCCACATGAGTAATTTGGCCCAAAAAACAATAACAACAACTGATCAAATTATGTTCACCTGTGATGCTGTTCCCTAGTGAAATGATTTCACACTTGGTGCTACTTTCTAATTAGTGACATTTTCTTTCTCTCATTTCATACCAGATTTCATTTCTTATTCTCATTTGCAAAATTAGCGGAGTTGAAAAACTTTCCTACGGATTTTCAGTTATGATGCGTTTTGGATAAATAACATGTAAATTACATGCAGTTTAGATTAGGTTAGATGATTATTAATATAATTGTAAAAGTGATGTCGTACCTTGGTCCAAGAGGTGGATGCTATAACGTATGATGAGTTATCGACATCTGTGGTGTGATGTTATAACCATTCATTATTAGCTGCCCCGCCAAGCATCACTGTTCGCCTTGACCGGCTGTCAAAACAGAGCTAAGCTAACTAATTACTATACTGCCAACAACTAACCCGGGTCAAGTTCAGGGTCAACTCTCACTTCACTCTCTCCGGTTGACCTTGACATAAGACTGACCTGTTTCTTCTGGCATTACCTATGGTGTTGGGTCTACATACACTACTTCTTCTCTCACACATAAATGTCATCATTAAAACCACACTTACTCGGCTTCTTTTTCATCATGAATTAATAGCTGCCTCATGTTTTTCCTGTCAACCTTCATTTATTTTTGTTAACCATTCAACTTACTTTGCCAGTGTTATAAATTATGTAAACTTGAAATAATGTTAACAAATTTTTGACTCAGGTCACTGATTTTGTTTATAATTACTGTTTCCATAACAAGTTGAGTGAAACTCTTTGATATCAGAAGCCTGTTTTCTGGCAAAATCTAGCTCAAGTGATTATCTTCATAGTTCACATTCATAATTTGAATTCAAATGTTACTATGAATTGGTTTCCTTTTCAAAGCCTCGAAATAAAAACGGAACACGACATTTTGGAAAAAGACGACTAGATTCTGGACTCCCTAATGTCCTGGAACCCCCATCTGCAGTAGTTATAACCTGTTTGGAAATCAAGACAGCTCGGGAAACCACGAGAAACGACTTCGGAAAATCACCGTTATTGGCGATGATTTTTTTCTTAGAACTGTGCCTAGTTCCATTTCTCAATTAATATCTCTCAAGCTGGTATCAAACTGACCAAAATGTAACTGGTTTGCATGTAACTGGTTTTCAAGTAACCCTTCAAGAACAACAGGTGTAGTTAATCAGTGATACCAGCGTGTGGCATCCATTCATCTTAGTTTTTTTTTCAACTTCTTTTTTTTCAGAAAACTTAAAAGTATACTCAATTTAACAGAGACATTTAAATCTATATCAAGGGAAGAGTGCTTCAAAAATAGTTTTTATGGTAAATTTTTCAAGTCCCCCAAAACACCTATTTTGCCAGCTGTTCTGCGCCTCAGGCGGTTTTTTTTTCAAACTTGAGCCGTTTTTTTGTGTTTCTGGTGCGATGAGGGGAACAAGAACAAAGCTTATAATGTTACTAAATTAGGCATAAACAACTACAGTTGTTTTCGAAAATTGAATTACAAAACAAAATATACGAAAACGACTCTTTTTCTTCTAATTAAGTTAATTAGGCATAAACAGCTATAGTTGCCCTCTTAAACTGAATAATAAACAAAATACTTTTTTTTCAATGTGTTTGCCAAAGTGTAGTTCAAAAAGTTTTTGTTATTAAAAAAAAGTTTTCTCTCGAAATTAAACTAAAAGAAAAAACGTCATACCGGTTTTTCTCGAAACGGAAAAAAATTTCAAAAACTTTTCAATTTCACTCGAAAATGTTTTAATATGGTATATGGCTCAAATCATTGATGATTTGCTGTAAAAAAAACTAAAACACCCGAAGACCTTTCAGTGGTTGGAAAAACAAGATGACGGATGCTTTGTACAATTTGTCAAATCCTTAAAAAAGTTTGCTATACGATTGATCGCTTTATATCATAACTTTTGATCGTACCTCTGAAGTTCAACAAAACGTGTTATAAAAATGGCGATTCCAAATAGACCGATCAGAACCCCTTTAACAACTCATCTTTTCCACTTTTCCATTAATATTCTCCCAATATATCTCTCTTTGTCTGTGGCAACTTGGGAGCATATGCCGTGCAGGAGTTTTCCTCTTCCATCATAAAAATGACATTCTGCAAACTAGTTAACTTGTGGTGCCACTGTTGTAAATGGAGAAATTGATCGTCAGATGTGGCAACTTATGTGCGAGAAAACCCCAATGCCGAGTCTCGAAAAAGCCACAAAAACAAATCAGGCTGAAAAAATTTGGGAAATTATTGTCATCAAAAAGCCATAATCAAAACAAGCCAGCTGTTTTCAAATTACAATTTCACTTTCATATCTTTAAAAAAACAATGAGCTTTTTAACACAGAAAAGCATTTTTAAAAAAATAACGCAGCTTGACTGCTTTTTGTCAAAAAATGTTAGATCAGACGTCTCAATTCAGGAAAAGTTTGGCTAATTTGAATACTTTTCCATTTCCAAGCCCACTTTTGCGTAGCACTGCGACCCAATTAGAGGGAAAAGAGTATTGAAAAGAAGCAAAATTGATTATTAGCCGGGAAATGTAGCAACAAAAGAGCGAGGCAAGCTGCCTGTTCCAATTAAATTTGATCAAAAGATCCGTCTCCCCCCTGCAATCCCCAGGATTACTGTGCCTCTGATTTCTTATTTCAGAACAGGGAAATGCAATAATGGCCCACTGCAGAAAAGAAGAAATGTAATCAAATTTTATCCATTGCGAATAACAAGAGCCCTCTTGCACGAAATGCAATTTAAGGCATGACTGCTCAATACATTTACATTTGCTTCGCACGCCGTAAAATCTCACTTTTTGCTTGTTTGGGGGTATTAAATTATAGAGACATTTCCTGTAAAAAGCCCGAGGGGATTTTTTTTCATCGAAATTTCAATGGATTTTTTTCTGAAAATTTACGGCTTGTATCCATTAGTGCAAAGCCCTTGGGTTTAAAGTCGATAAATACATGCAAGCTTAGCAAAGATAAGAAACACAATTAAACTGTTTAAAAAAGAGTACCGAATCTAAAATGCTGACGAAATATTTTTTCCACGCAAAAAGTGGTGTATTTGATGCTTTAAAACTTCCTATTAAAGCGCATTTGTGATAAAAAAAGTAATTGATGAAACAGAGAAAAATGTTCAAATGAGAAAAGAAAAAAACCGCGGTTTCCAATTTCGCTAATGGAATAAATTCGTTTCCTGTTTCCCCAAATGCTAATAGCAGTACCCCAATTTTAATAATGGAAGCGGGGCATTAGAGGAAGCTTCTGTTTCCTCAATAATTCCCATTCAGTCTCCTCTTAAGCCCATTGCATTTGCATAAAGCACCTGAAAGTCTCAATCAATAAAGACGAAGTCCATGACTTAATCTAGATAATGCGATGAGCAAATCTATCCTTGAATTCCTGGGATATATTTGAAAAGTCACCTGCCAGGGAGTCATTAAAGTCACTCGACAGTTTACGAGCCAATCGCAATGGAGCAAATATGGAAATTTAGAGTTAAGAATGGGTTGTAAAGTGTAGTGCAATGTGTAATTACGAGCAATTTAGTTCTCTTTTATAGGTCTGCTTGAATCCCAAAAAATTTTGAGTTTTCAAGCAACGAAGTAGTAGTCATTCTCATACATGCACTTACTTGATTTGTAATTTCCAAGCAAAAAATTCGTTTATATCTTCCCGGGTCGAGGTGCTCGATTTATGTTTCGACCGTTCGACCAAATTTCCATATGTTTCGACTTTCTCGACCAAATTTTGGTATGTTTCAACTTTCTCGACCAAATTTTGGTATGTGTCAACTTTCTCGACCAAATTTTGGTATGTGTCAACTTTCTCGACCAAATTTTGGTGTGTTTCAACTTTCTCGACCCAGCAAAAAAAGTGCTCGACCCAGTTCAGATAGGTTTCAACTTTCTCGACCAAAGTTCGACACCAAAAAAAAATCAAATTTTTTCGAAAACCAGAACATCAAGGTTCTTCGTATCAGTAGGAAGCCTTGAAACTATCAGGAGAAAGCTCTGCTCGAGGAAACCCATCAAAGGAAAGACCCTTAAAGACTCCCAACTATTTTTTGCTTCGGAGAAATGTGGATAATTTCAAAAAAAAAACAAGAAAATTACGTTTTTGAACACATCCCGCTATCTGGGTCAACGTTTGCAATTTATGTATTGATCGACTCGAAAAAAACTTGGTATGTGTCAACTGGTGTATTTTGTTTCAACCGGTACAATTTGGTATGTTTCAACCGGTACATTATGTTTCAACCGGTACAAAAAGTTGGTATGTTTGGTACGTTTGGTATGTTTTTGGTATGTTTCAACTTGGTATACTTTGTATGTTTTGAACGACTCGACCCAAGTTGTCTATGTTTCGACTATAATCGACCGAGGAAAGACATTTCGACCAAATTCTACTGAAGACAAACGTTTCGACTGAACTCGACCGAGGAGTTTTTTCGATCGAGAAGACTTTTGATCAAAAAAAAACATTTCGACTGTGTTCGACGGTTTTGTCGTTGCCTCAAAATTTGTTTCGACTTTCTCGATCGAAATTTGTTATCTTGCGACTCTTTTTGACTCATATTTCAACTGTGCTTGACCTATATTTCGACTTTGACCGACCTGTGTTTCGACTTTCTCGACTTATGTTTCGACTTTCTCGACTTATGTTTCGACTTTCTCGACCAAAAATAGGTATGCTTCGACTGTGCTGGACAAGTGTTGCTACTTTCTCGACCTTCTCGACAATCAAATAACCTGAGTAAATTGACGAAAAATAAATTTAATGTGGGATTTTCAGTTAATTTTTTGTGATGTTGCTTGATTTGAAAATAAACTATAAAAACCTGTAAAATGCAAAGTTCCTCCATCAAAAACTATTAAATTTCTCCTTTTTGCTTTTATTTGTTTACAAGTCTGGTCTAAAACTGTTGATTTGAAAATTGATATTTGAGGAATTTTGGGTAGATTTAATTTTTTCTTGCTGCGGAATCCATAGATTTCAAAAACCAAAAGGGTTTCCTCTGAGACTTTTAGTTTTGCGGTAAGAAAATCTCCTCAATTGATTGTTGAGGGTTCAAACTTTCTGACGCTTGTCTTTTTTTGCCTAAATTCCAATTTAAATTTAATTAAAACCTTTAATGAAATTAAAAATTTGATTAACAAAATCGGTTGTGCTCGACCTATGTTTCGACTGTGCTCGACCAAATTGAGGGATGTTTCGACTGTGCTCGACATTCTCGACCTATGTTTTGACTTCTCGACCAAAATTGGGTATGTTTCGACTTTGTGCTCGACTTAATATTGCTCTTCGGCCGCGGAATTTTAGTAGCAAAACTGCACTTGCTCGACTTCCAAAGTCAAAACATAAATCTAGTACCTCGACCCGGGTTCGCTGCTTCCATAATTAGTCATTTTTTTGTTACCAAGAACGTGTTTTAGTTAAGCAAACCCCCTCCCAACCCCATTTCAATTATTATGGTTGCTAAATGTTTTATTTGCAAATGACTTCCAGCCTTGGTGCTGTCTATGTGCATGAACTCTCAAACGACCGACATAGGTATACCTTTCATGAAAAGAAAAAAAACAAAAGCACAAATAAGACAAAACCTTTACCACACGAATAAAACCTCAAGATAACGTGTCGTGTAAGATGCCAGAATAAAATATTTTGAAAGTTCTCTGATTGAAGAAAAAATGTTCCAATAATCTCCAAAAAACGACTGCTCGTATCAGTGCAGAGCATTGAATGTTGCGACTGCCTTTAATTGGTCTCAAATAAATTTTGGTAAACTAAATATTGACAAAACTAAGAATTAAAATCTGATAATATCAAAAGTTAGGCGTTTAAATTTGAGTCGTGTATGGAATTAATAAAACAAATAAAGTTTGAATAATATTAGTGCAGGATATTTCGCCCCGAGTAAAATTACAAAAACAGCAGTTTAGTCAGATTCGTGGAAGGTTGCTATAGTAGTGTGCACACCTTGATGGGTCCATGCAGATCAAGAGATCCCTCCGCCGAGAGACCAGAGTTTCGTAAAATTGTCTGAATAAAAAACTACCCCGAGCAAGTATATTTCTCACTTTCTTCGAAAGTCGGAACATTAATCATTGAAGTTTTGAATTGTTCTCGCGAGGAAGGCGACTAACCCATTGTTCCTTCTAATCATATAGTTTCTTTATTTTTATTATTCAAGACAAATAAGAACTAAATTGATTCCAGAGAGAATAAGGTAACCTAGGTTAAAATTAGCTTGTTAGTTGGCAGGGTTGTCCTGCGTCCAGCCCTTTTACTCATTGAAAAAAGATGGGAACTGACACTAGAAGATAACTTTTTTATTCTAATGGAAAAGCTACAGCGATACCGTATGATGCTTTTTATAGCTTACAGTGAGTTAACTTGATGCAAGTGAGATGGCCTTTTGTGAACTTATTTTAGATTATGTCTTATAGTTTTGTACCACTTTGATGATGTATAATTGGATGGTGAGTCATTGAGGACATTGAGAGACTATCCGGTGAATATGTTTTCTTCGAATAAAAAGCTGTCTGTTTTTATTAGAACAAAAAGAGACGTAAGACACCTCAAAATCCACTATTAGGGATGTGATTTACAATTTCAACCAAAAATGGTGGGTAATAAAAAATCTACAAAATTAATGTCGAATTTTCCAATTGAACATGTAAGAAACGTAACAGTCTGAGTCTTTGCGACAATTGAAACCGCGAAAATTAGAAACTTAGAACAAGATGACAAAGTGGAATAAGAAGACGGAAATCGTAGGTTACATTCAATTGATTATGGAAGAAATGAAGCTACCCGGTGAGTAACCATTGTACTGTTTCAACCGTTACAGGTCCTGTTTCACACATGGGAAATTGCGAAAGTCCTGGTATCGAACTTCGCGAACTTTGAGAACTTGGAGGGGTCCAGAGACGGGATCCAGATATTTTAATCCACTTTTGGCTCTTGGACAAAGTCCTGAAATCAATTTATTAACATCAGAATTTCAATTTCTGCATATGAAGAGATAAAATTGAAATGAAGCTTTCGATCCATTTCCGATGGATGAAACATTCCCCCGGAAGTACAAAGCGACAGAAAATTAAAGCTAGGTCTTAAAAACGACTGGCTAGCATCTAAAGACAGCTTCACATGCTTTAAGTGCTTTAAACCGTCTCTACCAAACCCAGTTCAGTGTGTGGTCTCTTAACATCAGGTCGACAAAGTCATAACAATTTAAGCCTATCGATCAAACCGCGCAAATTAACTTAGTTACATGCAGAAATAGTGAGCTCATGGCTGGGTCTCAGTATGTCACCAGACAACGCGGTCACTTCAAAAAATAGCTATTATTTTATATTGTTTTTGTTCAGGTGATAAAAATCAAGATATCCATCGGAGACGGATATCCTTTTTCACTCAACTCCTAGCTTTTCAAATTCTGAAAAACGAATTTGATGTTATTTATGTTCAGTTCAAGAACTTCCGGGAAGCTAAAAGCTGTTAAAATCAATGTCTACTGTCTTTCCCAAGATTTTTACGGATTTCCGAATTCAGCCAAAGAGCTCTCTTTTTGGCAACCAGGAAGGGTAGCAGATCTTCCCAATAACGCTCCGAACTCTCGGGGATTGCTCGGTAACGGTTTTAGATTTTCGCTGGTTTAAGTGTTCGCAATTTTTCAAGGTCGTGCCGTGTCTCTATTTTGATCCTTCCTAATTCGTTCAATTGAACAATTAACACCAATACTTATTCAAAACAGCCATTTTCTGGCTAATCTGCTCCCAATAAAATCCGTTGCTGACATGCACTTCAGACCATTCTGGTCACATAATCCAAGGACAGCCCGGTAAATGTCCTCCTTGAACTCCGAGTAACTCATCAGGATGGTACAGTGTCATCCAACAGAACTTACAAAATGCATGAAAGGGATTTTTTTCCCCATCATATTGACTCACTACGTGCTAATAAGGGCATCATACTCCGTTGCTACAGCCTTCTTACATTTTCATTAGGTACTGAGAGGGTCACCTTTACCTTTGTACAGTGGAATCAGAGAGCTCAGTTTCCAGTCATCGTGCATCTTACCACTGAATTAGATCTGGCTGCAAATAGTTGTCAGTACATCAATGAAGGGGTCACCAGCAGCTTTGAGCACCTTTGCAGTGATACCACTGGGCCCTGGAGCCTTCTTGTTCGCTAACGCTCGCAAGGCACTCTTAAGCTCTGCCACTGTAACTTCCTCAGAAGGTCCTTCTACAGCCGGTTTGTCACTACTCGTGTAAGAATGTTCAACATTCATGATATCATACATATGGTCTTTCCATATTTTCTTACGAGCAGCAATGTTAGTTTGAAGTTTCTCTTCTGCATCCTTCAAGCAATTCGTGCCGACAACGTCTTGTCTTTGCTTGACCCTTTGCTTTGATATATTGAAGATCTTCATAGAGTCAGCTTCTGCAATAGCTTGCTCTACTTGACTGTTGATAGCATCACAAATCGTATGCTTTGCAGCACGTTTAACATTCGCATACTCTGTCCGATTTGCATCGTTTTTGTTTCTGCGCCACTGTTTGAACAGTTGTTTCTTCATTCTCACAGCTTCTTCTACTTCTTGGTTCCACCACCAAGTTTCACGTGAAGCTGCATGTCCTCGAGAAACACCGTAAACATTTTGTGCTACCTCGAACAGGTTGTTCTTAAGCTCCTCCCATGTAGTAGTCTCAGGTGTCGCAGCAAACTCAGTAGTGAAAAGTTTCTTTGTCTCTGGATCACGTAGTTTCCAAGTCTTTATCCTTGGTTGTCGCTTGACTTTTCTTTGTTTGTGGACTTTCTTCATGGTAAAGTGAGCTACAACAAGTTTATGCTGGATGCCAACTGGAATAGTCTTTGCATTCTTTAAAGATGAGATTGAGCCTTTTCTGTAAAAAATATAATCTATCTGGGTTGCAATACGGCCCGACATAAATGTCACAAACTGAGTGTGTAGTTTCTTGAGCGCAGTGATGGCAAAAAACAGTCGTGCAGACATGGCACAGTCTAGTAGTCGGACGCCGTCACTGCTCTGGCTTCCATAACCAAAACCACCATGTACACTTTCGCAACTTGAGTTGTCCTCGCCAATGTGTCCGTTGAAATCACCACCAACCAGCGAGTTATCGGTCGTCAGCAACTCACGTTCAAGGGCATCGTAGAATTGATCTTTCATATCATCTGCTAAATGGCTCTGTGGGCAATACGCAGATATCAATTTGTAGGAACGATCTTCCAAAATAACCGTAACGGAGATGGCATAGGTGTAACAACGACCGAATTGGCGGATAACGTGAGTCTGAGTCTGCACAACTCCTTTTGCTTGAATAGGGAGACGAATTTGATGTTATTTATGTTCAGTTCAAGAACTTCCGGGAAGCTAAAAGCTGTTAAAATCAATGTCTACTGTCTTTCCCAAGATTTTTACGGATTTCCGAATTCAGCCAAAGAGCTCTCTTTTTGGCAACCAGGAAGGGTAGCAGATCTTCCCAATAACGCTCCGAACTCTCGGGGATTGCTCGGTAACGGTTTTAGATTTTCGCTGGTTTAAGTGTTCGCAATTTTTCAAGGTCGTGCCGTGTCTCTATTTTGATCCTTCCTAATTCGTTCAATTGAACAATTAACACCAATACTTATTCAAAACAGCCATTTTCTGGCTAATCTGCTCCCAATAAAATCCGTTGCTGACATGCACTTCAGACCATTCTGGTCACATAATCCAAGGACAGCCCGGTAAATGTCCTCCTTGAACTCCGAGTAACTCATCAGGATGGTACAGTGTCATCCAACAGAACTTACAAAATGCATGAAAGGGATTTTTTTCCCCATCATATTGACTCACTACGTGCTAATAAGGGCATCATACTCCGTTGCTACAGCCTTCTTACATTTTCATTAGGTACTGAGAGGGTCACCTTTACCTTTGTACAGTGGAATCAGAGAGCTCAGTTTCCAGTCATCGTGCATCTTACCACTGAATTAGATCTGGCTGCAAATAGTTGTCAGTACATCAATGAAGGGGTCACCAGCAGCTTTGAGCACCTTTGCAGTGATACCACTGGGCCCTGGAGCCTTCTTGTTCGCTAACGCTCGCAAGGCACTCTTAAGCTCTGCCACTGTAACTTCCTCAGAAGGTCCTTCTACAGCCGGTTTGTCACTACTCGTGTAAGAATGTTCAACATTCATGATATCATACATATGGTCTTTCCATATTTTCTTACGAGCAGCAATGTTAGTTTGAAGTTTCTCTTCTGCATCCTTCAAGCAATTCGTGCCGGACAACGTCTTGTCTTTGCTTGACCCTTTGCTTTGCTATATTGAAGATCTTCATAGAGTCAGCTTCTGCAATAGCTTGCTCTACTTGACTGTTGATAGCATCACAAATCGTATGCTTTGCAGCACGTTTAACATTCGCATACTCTGTCCGATTTGCATCGTTTTTGTTTCTGCGCCACTGTTTGAACAGTTGTTTCTTCATTCTCACAGCTTCTTCTACTTCTTGGTTCCACCACCAAGTTTCACGTGAAGCTGCATGTCCTCGAGAAACACCGTAAACATTTTGTGCTACCTCGAACAGGTTGTTCTTAAGCTCCTCCCATGTAGTAGTCTCAGGTGTCGCAGCAAACTCAGTAGTGAAAAGTTTCTTTGTCTCTGGATCACGTAGTTTCCAAGTCTTTATCCTTGGTTGTCGCTTGACTTTTCTTTGTTTGTGGACTTTCTTCATGGTAAAGTGAGCTACAACAAGTTTATGCTGGATGCCAACTGGAATAGTCTTTGCATTCTTTAAAGATGAGATTGAGCCTTTTCTGTAAAAAATATAATCTATCTGGGTTGCAATACGGCCCGACATAAATGTCACAAACTGAGTGTGTAGTTTCTTGAGCGCAGTGATGGCAAAAAACAGTCGTGCAGACATGGCACAGTCTAGTAGTCGGACGCCGTCACTGTTCTGGCTTCCATAACCAAAACCACCATGTACACTTTCGCAACTTGAGTTGTCCTCGCCAATGTGTCCGTTGAAATCACCACCAACCAGCGAGTTATCGGTCGTCAGCAACTCACGTTCAAGGGCATCGTAGAATTGATCTTTCATATCATCTGCTAAATGGCTCTGTGGGCAATACGCAGATATCAATTTGTAGGAACGATCTTCCAAAATAACCGTAACGGAGATGGCATAGGTGTAACAACGACCGAATTGGCGGATAACGTGAGTCTGAGTCTGCACAACTCCTTTTGCTTGAATAGGGAGTCGAAGGTGAAGGGTTTGCCCAACCAAGCAAAGAGGCTGCAAGAACAGAGGGAATGGATGCGGTCTTATGAAAAACTGAAGGCTTGGGAAGAGATCGTAATTAGCTCCGATGATGAGGAGGCACTGTTAAGACAGATTGCGGTGTCAAGTGTGTTGGGCCTAGCACCTCGAAGGCGAAGAACGCGAGATGAGGAGGCGGCTCAGTGGGAAATTCTAGAGTCTTGAGTCTTGAGAGGGGAGGAAAGGGGCTCGAGGGTGAACTCGGATGAAATCTGAGTTCACGAAAAGAAATTATAACGAACGAGACATTGTTATTAATATGCTATATCTATTATATGAGTCAAAATGTTGCATGTCAATCTCCTGATCGAATGGGACAAAAGAAGTTTTAAATCATTAGCTTGCAAAGCATGAATTAAAGGTGCAGGTGTGCGCAGATTTTGATTGCTGTTTAGCGATAGTGTGAAAATTTTACATGGTTGTGAATTTTGGGGTGTAGTTAAACTTAATTCTACTGCAAACCTTTGTAAATGACCACTGGCACTGTATCTTGAGCTACACTCAGAATTCTGCGGATTCACTGGCAGACGGCAACACGCGATGAGGACATCGATCTTGAGTCCGGGGAGTATGTGCCAGTCGGTCATATTTGGAAGTTTGACCTCGAGTAATGCGAATAACATGATTTTGGGGTCAAAAGGAATTTTTCAAAAATTCGAATTGGACATGTCATGCTCAAGTTTCTCGCGACAGCAGTTTCGACAATTAATCGAACGAGAGTAGAGCTGTCTTATTCGTGACAGGAGACAGAAAATAATCGAGAGTAAAAGAACATCGCAATTCAGTTGGATCAAAAGGAACCTTCGGTGGAAATGTAGACAACCGAAGTCTCCCAATGGTCCAGACAAAAAACACAATTCTCAAGCTAAAACTTGTTCGATTAGAACTTATTGAGTCAAACTTAATTCGCCATTTATTCTCAAGTTGCTTATTAATTTAGTTACCTCAATTCTCGAGTGTGCTGGTATGTAAGTACTCCATTTTATTTTCTTGAGTGTGTTTTATGATTGTTATGTTGAGATAATGAGAGCTGTAGGTTGATCCATCTGAAAGTTCCACTGTCTAATAAAAAGTAACTGTACGGACTGTTCCGACCCTGTTTTTAACGGCGTTCGCGTATTTTGGGTATTTTGAGAGCTAAGTATGGGGACGTTCTTATTTTCTAGAGTGGGGGGTATTTTGGTAGTGGCCTTTAAGCTATAACGGGTTTTTAGTCTCATGTCGCAAGTGAACCGAATTGGCTCCGACCGTTCGAGGTAGAAAAACACAAGAGATAGTGTCCCTGACTCTTGAGCCAATGGTTATAGGGCCTGTTTTTCTTTAACCTCATATGTTACTCAAGTAGGCGACTGTTACATAGTGTTTTTATGGCACTCCTGGGTGTTCTTACGACATCATGACTACGGAGTCGAACCCACTTGACACAGCTCCGGGCTACATGCCCATTCTAGAGTACCGGTGGTATCCAGCGGGAACGTGTAAACTTTCCGGTTGTACCGTGATAGCTTTTTAAGAAAATTCGAGAAAAGTTCCTGGTACGCTCTCCGAACGAGGCTTAGCGAACCCAGTAAGGGGGGTAACTAGGGGGACAAAAAAACGAGCAAAAGACAAAAAGCATCACAAAAACCGAAAAAAATAGAAAAAGGAACAAAAACCATAAAACAAAAAAATGACAGTGACTTTGACACCAGATTAGTTGAATCAAACCTTTATATTATTTAAATAGTATATCCATACTGTTTTTATAAGACCGATTGTTTCGATCAATTCAGCAATTTAATAAGGTGCCCGAGTGTGGGGCGTTGTTAAGGGTTTTCAGATAGCTTGCAACTTAGCTGGACCAATAGGAGATTTAACTGGAAGAGGTGACCATTCGGTAGGAAAGTTGTTCACAAGGACTTAGCTGGACCATTAGGAGACTTGACTGGAACAGGTGATCAGCCAAGTGGGAAAGTGGTGCTGATGATCAGGTGCAGGACACATCAAGGAGACAACCAGCACGGAATCAGAACAACAAGAGAGGACGGGGGTGTTCTCAAGTTGGTCAAGCAGGTATCGTTAAAATCCACATTACATTATAGGAGATAAATAAAAAATTGGATAAGAGGAACCCCAATATTTTGAGGAACATTTTTACTCAAGCAGAGGCTGGAAACAGATTCTAAGGTTTTCTCTCAAGAGAATTATCACCCGGCGCTTAAGGTAATTTTCGGCTTAAGAGGAGGGCTCAAGAGGGGGAGGTTAGAATGGGGGCTGGTTAGGTTAGAGGTTGGCGGTTGTAAATTGGAAAAAGGGGGAACATATTCGAGTAACTAATTGATCGACATCGTCGATTTAGTTACATTAGAATCTTACACGCGTTGATTATAAGAAGCGGATATCCAAATTTAATTTCGAATTAAGGTAAGTACTCTGGTCGGATAGGGTGGGGGGAACGGAAGTAGACAGTTTTTGTGATGCCCCATAAAATTGGTAGCAAGGGGGGGGGGACGCGTCGCAATTAGGTACCAGACGTTTTTTCTAATAAAAAGTTGACACAAGTCACCTTTGAATTTTAGGTGGGTTTATCTCTCTGTTTTGATTATTTTTTCCCTGTTTAAATTTTCACGTTTTATTTAAATAAAACCCAAATTTTAATCGGTTTTGAACAAACAGGTGATCACAAGACACCCCCGAACAATTTGGGTTCCAACTTGCATCAAAAAAGTAAAAGGAAAATAAATACAGGGGGGTTAGTAATTCAAACTTTTGGCCACTAAGGTTGGGTTTTTTTTTGGGAATTTTTTTTACTAGAGCTCAAGTGGTGGTACCAGGTACAGTGGTTCAAGAGTCCCGACAACGAAAAAGAATAGCTCCCACTATCCCAACACTTGGTAGAGAAGTCCTGGGACAGTACCGAAGAGTCTTGGGACAGTACAGTCTTGGGACAGTACAGTCTTGGGAAAGTGGTCTTGGGACAGTACCAGGAAGCCTTCCTTGGGACAGTACAGAGTCTTGGGACAGTACAGTCTTGGGACAGTAGTCTTGGGACAGTCGTCCTGGGACAGTACAGTCTTGGGACAGTAGTCTTGGGACAGCAGTCTTGGGACAGTGCAGTCTTGGGACAGTGCAGTCTTGGGACAGTGGTCTTGCGACAGTGCAGTCTTGGGACAGTAGTCTTGGGTCAGTGCAGTCTTGGGACGGTGGTCTTGGGACAGTACAGTCTTTGGACAGTAGTCTTGGGACAGTGAAGTCTTGGAACAGTGGTCTTGGGACATTGCAGTCTTGGGACAGTACAGACTTGAGGGTAGTAGTCTTGGGACAGTGCAGTCTTGGGACGGTGGTCTTGGGACGGTGCAGTCTTAGGACAGTAGTCTTGGGACAGTACGGTCTTGGGACAGTAGTCTTGGGACAGTACTAAGAAGTCCTGGGACAGTACCGAGTAGTCTTGGGACAGTACCAAGAAGACCTGGGACAGTACCGGAGAGTCTTGGGACAGTGTAGTCTGGGGACAGTAGTCTTGGGACAGTTAAGAGAATTCTTGGAACAGTACCTAACAGTCTTGGGACAGCATGAGAAAGTCTTGGGACAGTTCAGAGAAGTCTTGCGACAGCACGAGAGAGCCTTGGGACAGTACATAGAAATCTTGGGACAGTACAAGAAGTCTTGGGATGGTACAAAAAAAATGTGTGACGGTACTTAAAGGTCTTGGGACAGTGCGAAATAGCTCAACGCTCAATTAAAAGCAAAACAACCGGTCCGAACGATTAAATCGCGAAAGATCCGTTCTATTAAGATCAAGAATTGAAAGTTTTTTTTTCTGTAAGCGAAATAAGAATGTTTTTTAAAGAATTTTTATCCTTGTAAAAGAATTTTGTAAATAATCATATTGTAAATAGAGGCAATTGTAAATAAAAATCATGAGGCGGAGTAGAGTACCGATAGCAGAAAGAAGAGTTATAGAGTCAAAGACAAATCATAACTCGTCGCAACGAAAGGTAACACCGTTTGACCCAAGATTAACAAGAAAGATTTTTTCAGTGAGCATGGTCAACACACGAAGCGCAAAAGAGAACAAGACGAAAGTGAGCGCTGAAGAGGGACAAACGGAACCTGCTATAGAAATTGATCTTGAGACACCAGATCAGAGTGTTGATGAGGTGGAGAAGAAGACAACGGAGTCGACACCGATGCCGAATGCAGAAGAACAAAAGCAAAAGACGATGGAATTCTCGCCGATAGACACTGTGGAGGACACGATGGGCAACACGCCAGAAACCATAAAGGACGATTCTCAAACGAAAAGAACGTCATTCACAGAGAGGTTCGCAATGATGGTCGTAATGAAATCAAGAGACATAGTGGAGGAAGAACCGAAGGCCGAGAAAGGCAAAACGTTTGGAACAGTTTCCACGATAACAACAGAGGCCAACCAAGATGATGATCAGGTCAAACATGGGGCAACAGCTAGTCATGGGGCAACAGCTGACCATGAAGCAACAACTCCTCTTGAGCTGGGCGATTTAACGGCGAAGTTAGATCAGATCGACAAAAAACTTAAGTCCAGCGAGGAGGATCGGGAAGTGATAAAGAAGGAAAAAAGATACAACAAAAACGAGTACCTGGACAACTATTTTACCCTGGCAATGGCGACGGAGGAAAATCTTCAGCAGATGTCAGACAAGGTAGAGGCCACTGACAAAGACCGAGAGAAGAACATGAAAAAAGACATGCAAGTAATGAAGCAATGGTATGACACCGTGAACAGTAAGCTAGGGAATCTGGAGACGAGGATGGACACT